GTTTAAACCAGTTTACTCAGCACAATCCTTTTAAACATATGAACGATTGCACATTCCAGAGGATCAATCATTTCTGCTCTATTTAGGGGTTTACTTTAGAGAGTTGACATCCAGATAACAATGGTTAATAGATGCAGAAAGTGTATGTTCTGGATGTGCACACACTCGGCAGTTAAAGATTAGCCACAAAGACAGCAATGTTGTCACTCAGGCAGTAGCAGCGAGGTGAGTAATGTCTCACACAAACAGAGTCCTGACGCTCCTCTGTTGGGAAAACAGTTTCAGTGCTCGTCCATGCTGACGTTGACTATTTTACCCTCAATTTTGGGATAAAAGCACAGAGATCTGAGTTGTGTTAGTGGCTGAACGAGCAGCCTCTCGCTCACTTCCTCACTGGACGCCAGTGCTCGGAGGCTCTGCAGGTTTTGCATGACTGTGCATTCCTGTGCATGCTGTGCAGGGGGTACATTGTCCTTCAGAAATAATCTACAGTCTGTTCCCGTAAAGCTCGTGAGCAGCCATAACTTCAGAGCAGTGACCTGGATTAAAAAAAAAAAAAAAAAAGGACTTTAAACTCTGTGTGCAAATACTCTAAATATCGAGCAGGAAAGGACATGCATCTAATATTTCACCCAACAACAAATGAGCTGGATAAACCTTTCAATACTAGTGAGTTTCAGTAATGATGCCAAATAAATCCAGTACTTTGACATGTGCGATACGTATCAAATCCTGTATCACGGTATCTGCACAGTACATTGTCAGAAGATCAGCTGAGGTTAGAAAACCTTCTCTTAGGAGCCAGCATTGGGTACTAAAGGCTACAGAACCATTTAAATCAGAACCAGTAAAGAGAAAGGGACAGGGTGAGGTAGCGGGCTGATGGACTTGTGGTCATATTTCCTTCTCACAGCCCCTTCAGCTCTAATCCAGTGATGAGATGCGACCTGACAGCGTAATGGACCCTCACCTAGGCAGGGGCCACTTTAATGGGACCTGAAGTTTACGTAACATTCTGATAAACCGAACAGAACCCGGTGCCCCGGCCCATTTCGAGGGTGCTGCGTGTTTTATGAGGTGCTGAGAGACCCCGAGCTAGAAGCAGACAACACTTCCTCTTTCTTCCCCTCCGTGGAATTCCCTAAAATTTCACAGAGCAGCTCAACTGGAACCTTTATTTCCATTAGTCACCCCCCCCCTTTCAAACATTCCAGTGACAGTGGCCCCCGTAAACAGTCCAGAGTTCACTCCAGTAAGTAGACCAAACAACGTGTTCTGGCTCTTCTGGCTGAAACATGTGTTTGAATTAAAGAGTTTAATGTCCCTGTTGTTAAACTAGTGAATGAAGAGGAAACAACAGCCAGCCCAAATAGCTCCATGCTCACCTAAGTCCATGATAAACCTCTGTGGTATTTACTGGGATGATGTGACCTTGTTTGGAGAAGCTCTTAACAGCAAGAGAAGCAAGCACATGCAAATTAACATCTGTGCATTCTTCTGCACAGCTGTGAATTAAGAGCCTTTTTCATATTTAATAAACTGTGAGGGTTTTAGGAGTGGAGCGAGTCACAGGAGTCATTATTCAGGGTGTGACAAAGGTGTCAAAGCTCTTAGAGAATGCACCGTTAATTTCCCCCGTCAGTGAGTGGAACAAAAAGTGAAAACACACAACACCTTCAGGAAGATATTAAAACAGAAAAAGAGGAATCTAAAGATAAATATGTTGTTGATCTATTGTATATTCAGATATTATTGTGGGAGCTTCAAACGGCCGCCCGTAACACCAAAATAAAATCTAACAAATCCACGGTAGGCAACAAACACTTATTTTATTAAACCAGTGTCAAAACATACATTCTCTGCAGCTGCACAGAATCCAATGTTTCCCAAACTGGTCTCTCAGCATGCCTCCTCCTCCTCCAAACACACATCTTCACCCTTCACTGAACCTCACCGCGGAACAACATGGAGCAGAGACACATCTGTGCACAAACGAGGCAAAGCGGGCATTAGCTGATTAATGTCAGCGCAGCGAGAGAGCACATGACGGCAAAACTCAACGATGCACACGGCCTCATTTGATAGGAGACACAAACATTTGCATAGCCTGAAATATGGGGACTTTTATGCAAAATATTTGAAAAATGCAAATGTTTGTTTTAAACATTTTCATATTCATATTTCACGCTTTCTGACAGCAACACATCGACTTGTTTTTAATGACTGCACACTATGATAAAACGTACTTATAAATATTCTTTGATTCTTGAAAACCTCTCTCTAAAATTTCTGCTCATCTGGCTTCTTTGGAACCTCTGGGATCTCGGCTGGAACCTGAACTAGAGGCCGGTGGTTCTGAGCAGTTTGTGTGAGAGTCCTACGCTCCTCCTGACAGCCAGAGGGTCGGCGGTGTCTGAGAGGTGAGGATATGTTTGGAGAACGTTAAACGTATGAACAAAGGATCAGGTCAGACGAGGACCCCTCCTGTCTGCCATGTCCTCCTAACACAAGCGTGTTAGCTGCCCGAGCGCTCGGCACAGTATCGCATGTTAAACCTATTGACCTCTTCGGTGACGCAGCCGACAAATAGCTGTGAGGGGCTCCACACCCACCCCCACCCCCACCACCAGCAGCAGCCTCTGTGGACCAGGGCCAGCCGTCCACATGAAACAAAGTTCACACTCCCCATTGTGTGTCTGACCACGGCCTCATAACTCACTGAGGCCGTAAAAAAGCCGCACAATGAGCCACCGGACCACATGCTGCGTGTCCTACGGGAAACAACCCAAAACATTTATCCTACGAGTGTTGGGGAGATGCTCAACCTCTCTCTGACACACACTTACTTGTGTCCACATTCCTCCGTTACATAAGCATGTCCGGAGCAAGGTCAGAGGTCAGCATCAACGACAATGCCCTCTGGTTTTTGCGGCGGGGAGAAAGGAGACACCTTCCTGGAGCGACCAGGAGGTGCTATTGATTGATGCTGTGCAGAAGCGTCCTTTCTCCAGTAAAGCAGGGAGCTTTTATGAGGCCATTACGGCCTCAACGGGCAGAAGATTTGGTTCCCCGGTGCTCTGAAATCCCCTCAACAGCTATTATGCTGCACAGAGCGAGCAGGGAGATAATCCCAGGCTTCTCTTTTCACACCTGTCCGCTCATATTCACGTCACAAAGGAAGGGCTTGTGTGCGTCTGCATAGTTTGGTCCTCTTTGTACGCAACAGGAGGAGACATTTGGTAAAAGGGAATACACATCTGCTGTGCTGCCAGTTTAGCACCATACATCTTTATACCCATGCAGAGTATTCCAACAACTGCATAATATTGGGGACACTGTAAAAGCCGGGACACTAGAGGACATGTGAACTTACTCGCTGTGTCTCCTTATGGGACACTCTGGGATGTTTCTGCAGACTGTACTGAGACCACAGGCCTCCAGTTGGGATCAGAGACTTCCAGTTCTTTCCCTCCGCCTCGCTCACACAAATCAGCTCACCACTTCATCAGATTGAACCACCCCCCCCCCCCCCAAATAACAGTCCACTCGCCCACTTTACTACATAATCAGCTGCCTATGGGCTCCGTCTAACATATCTGGCACGGCCCAGAGAGCTGAAGCCCAGCATTACGCCTGGCTGGTGACCAGTTCTCAAACGGCTCCGCTCGGCACCGCTGAGCACCTAATAACAGGATGTGGAGCGCCAACCCCAAAACTGGTCAAACTCCAAGTTGTAAGAGGATGGGGGGATACGGGAAGCAGGGTGGTTATGGAACAACACCACCGCCACCTTAATAAAATAAAAACATTTATTCCAACAATTTGTGGCCCATGAGTGCTTGTTGGCGGCCGAAGATTCATATCAGAGTTCCTGCATGCGTCTGAACTACAGGAATTAAGCACGAGTTTAAATTCAATAAAACAGAACGCCCAAACACCTCCTTACAATACATACACACACACACACACACACACACACACACACACACACACACACACGTCCACAACCCCTCCCTCCCTCCCAAACATCTGAGAGCTGCTTACATTTATCTCGCCACAGAGGTTTGATTAAAGCAGACACGTGTATGGGATGAATTTGGAGACTTTTGGAAACGCTTTTTCTTTGATTTGAATTATTCATGGACGTCCGACACGCACACAGAATCCAAAGTATAAATAACGTGTTAAGTGAGAACATTTTTCCAACCTTGTCCCAAGAAAAGCCAAGAACAGGGAAAAAAAAACAATCCAAATGAGTAAACTGACATCCATATCTAATATAAGACAAAAACGCAACAATAACTTAAGGAGGCAAGCTTTGACTAATAATGTGTCACCTTGCACTGACCTGACCCTATAAGTAATAAGAAAGTACAGGTCAGACATGCAAAGGGGGTGCTGGTGAATCAAGGATAAATGAGTGAAGACACTTTAATCAGAGGAGAGTGTAGCTTCACTTATTTTAAGGTTTCTCAAAGCTCAGTTTTGTGTGATATTTATCTTTTATTTCCAGTTTTTGACTCTTTTATTTAGTATTTAAAAGATTAGTCCGTTAATCAATTAGACCATCAAACTTAATCAACATGTGTTCTGATATTCCATTAATCATTGGAGTCATTTATTATTATTTTTTTTAAAAAGCAAAGGTTTGTAAAAACTACTTCCCAAATGTGAGGATTTGCTGCTTTTCTCTCTTTTATATCAATATGATCAACTTGAACACATCACAATGGGCTCTGGGACTAAACAACTGAAGTATTAATCGAAAATCAATTCATAGATGATCTAAATCCTTGTTAGACAGACAGCACTTGTCCCCCTGGTTTTTGTAAGAGTTGTGACAGCCACCTCTGATCCTTCCCCAGCCGGCTGAATAAAGACACAGCTCCTGATTCAAACCCAACACAGCAACAAGGATCATCTCATAACTTCTCTGTGGAGAAAAAGGTGCTTTCCCTGCAGGGAGATTCACTTTTCACGCACAAGCAGGCCTGACTCACCTCACTGGATGGAATGCTGACAACACCTGTTGATCTCCTCTTTTCTCTCAGCTTTCTCTTCTCAAACTGCCCTTTCCCCTTCCTCGCGCTGAGACCGCCGGTGCTGTTCTTCTCCTTGACCTTACCGGGCGACGGGCTTCCCATGTCCCCGTCATTGCAAGCCATGGGGCTGGAGTCCGGGGAGTCGCACGGAGCCTTCTCCGTCTGAGGCGTGGCCTTCGTCAGGTCGCTCCCCGGCGGAGAGACGGCAGTGGGTGAGGCAGGGGGGTGCGTTTCCTCCTCGGGTCTCTTTAAAGCCGTGCCGGAGGAGGACCGAGCCACCGCGTAGGAGGGAGGGAGGCAGTTCCCAGCGGAGGCGCTCCGGTCCGGGCTGCCGTTATTGGTGAGCTCGGTGCGGTTACTGTTGTTGTTGTTGTTTGGGTTGCTGGCACCCATGGGCGCGCCAGTGGCTGCGGCTATGTCCCCCAGCATTTTGGCTCTCATTTTCTCCCGTTTAGCTTTCCACTCCTCCAAAAAGTCCGTCGTGGCGTTTGGCTTGAATCCGCCCGTGGCCATGATCCCTTTTTTTAAACAAGTTGGGTGAAAATGAACTTAAAAGTTGATATGAAGTGTCGGCTCCCCGTCCTTAATGGCACCGCATTCCTCAAGTGATTAACCCGAGTGCTGTTGACAGGTAGGAGGGAAACCAAAGTCATGACAAACTTTAAACTGTGGGGTTTGTATGCTTCTTTTTCTAAACCACGAGTTATAATTCCACGTCGTGACACTTCACGTATCTAACTTCAATAATATCACCTTCTTATGAAAGTCTGTTGCGAAAAAAGTTGCAAAAAGTTGCAACTCTCCGTGTTTCTGTGAGTCAAAGTAGCTGAAAATGTTCGGAGGTGGACCAGAAGTGTAACGCCTGATGGGAACTCACCTGCGTGGAGCTGTTTCAGGCGCTAATCTGCTCTCCGCGGTCCGACCAGGTGTGCCCGCGGTCCTCTCAGATGAATGGCGCTTGTCTCGAGCGCTGTGAACCGCTGCGCTCGGCGCTCTGCCCTCTGGCGCACCGGGTGAGTCCGACAACGCCCGAACACTTCCGACTGGAGCCGAAGCGACTGGAGCTCAGCCCGAAAACAAAGTCACTTTATTGGTCCTGTAATTCATGCGATTCATGGTACTTTTTAAAGGCATTTACGATATTCTATAGTATTTTTGGGTTATTTCCATAAAGACAATGATTTATACATTATCATGCTTTATTGTACTTTTGAACTTTATTGTTATCAATATAATAATTCTATTTCATGGTTTTCTAGTGCACATCTATTCATTTCACTATATTTCTATTCTTGCAGCACTACTCTAAGTAGTATTTTTTTTTATCTTTTATTATTCCGAATATAATAATATATATATATATATATATAATGCAGTATAATATATAATGTTTAATAATATGTACAAAAGTGTGTGATGAAAGGAATAGTTGATTAATCAAATGACTGAATAGAGAAAAAATGGACAAATAATGTTTTGACTGTGATTATTATTATTAATATTATATATAGAGAGTGAGGGATGGCCAGATGAAGCTATATCAGCACATCCTGTGAGTAGGCATTTTTTATTTATTTTTAGTCGCCTTTATTCCAAAGTATTTTATTCACCTAATGTTTTTTAAATGATGAAAGATTATTAATATTACTGAGTGTTGGATGACCAAAATAAGGTATATTGTTGACTTTTTATAGACTGAACGATTAACTGAGTAATACAAACAAAAGAGATTTAATTGATCATAAAAATAATGGTTAGTTGAAGCCCAACATGGGTAATAAGTATGGTTTACCACAAGTCATTTTTATTTATCTTAAAGGAGTATCATGGAGATACATCATCCTTACAATCCAACAGTAACTTGAGTTGTACATTGTATTCCATCAGCCACAGACAGGTGTGTGTTTATAACAGACTCTGTACACCAGCAGCAACGTGTCGCAGATGTCTCGTCTTCAACAGGCCATTGATAATCGCACAGTTGGACTGCGTCTTTTCTGCAGAGGAGCAATCGTCGACGATCGAGTTCTCCCACGCAGATCAAACAGAACGACTCCCTCAGGCACCGGGTGACTCGTCCAACCAGCTCTGATCACAGGAGAACTTCCGCGTTCACCTCCTGCTGATGTATACACTTCATTCCAGCTGAAGGGAAGGCTGAGGACAGTAAGATTGGCAGGTGTATTGCTTGCTCGTGTGAAGCTCTATGATGAGTAATGTGAATACTAATACTGAAGGTAGAAAACACCTCAGTACTCATCTGTATCTTTACAGGCCACAGAGACAGCGATGCAGAGACGGTTTTAATAAGTTTCATCATTATTATTATCATTAGTATGTCTATTTATTTGTTTTATTTTAGGTTGTATTACTGCTATTGGTTTTACTTTTACATTCTAACGTCTTTTATTGACTTTGTTCTATGGATGTTGGTTTCTATGGTGGAAGAAGTGAAGCTCTACTGCAATACAAGAATACTCTACTAAGTCCAAGTAAGAGCATGTAAGTATTATTAGCAAAATGTACTTAAAGTATTGAAATGAAAAGTACACATATTCAGAAAAATGTCCCCTTTGATTGCAGTACAGTTATATTTTATACTATTGGATTATTATTCCTGAGGCATCAATGTGGAAGCAGCATCTTGACGTGGTTGGTCGATGAGTATTCTATAAGCTCATCATACATTTTGTATGTTAACGACAATTAAGTAGCATGAAATGCAAACACTCAAGTAAAGTACCTCACATTTGTATTTCAATGAAAATGGAACAAACTCCATCTGCTGAAGGAGACGGATCGGATGGAAAGCTCCCAAACAGTTAACGAACAATAACATACGTCAGACTCTAAAAACCGGTCAAAGATTCTGCGTCAATGTCCGCAGCTCTCCTGCGTAATGAACACTCCGCGATTCAGCGTCAATGTCCGCAGCTCTCCTGCGTAATGAACACTCCGCGAGTCATCGCTGCGTGCATGATGCAGAGATCCATCGTGATAACTCTGCACTGCATTCCAGTGACATTCAATCCCTGAGCCTCTCTGTCATTACCTCACCGAGCAGGTTTCTCCCCACACAGTGATTTTAAAGATAATGGCACTATAAGGTAACTGTGCTGAAGGGTAGGAGCCTCGTGGTGTTCCCAAAGGGTGCCCTGACTTTCAGACAAGTGTATCTTAGATATCACTGATTAAAGAGGCTGTTTGTTGTTTGCAGCACAGCGCCACAGCCCCACGTTGGTGAGTGGGAGACGAGGCATCCGGCCATTATCTCTGCGAGTACCAACCCTGTTATGGAGATAATGAGAAAACTTGTGTGGAGCAAAAGGGAGTGAGGCGCCTTTCCTAAAAATAAACCCTGATCTGTGGACTCAGGTCACACTGCTGCATATTTAGCATATTTCTGGCTGCTCTTGAGGAGGGAAAAGAGAATGAGGGGGCTGTTTATCGCCGACTGTTTCCCTCTCATGCCAACACAAACACTGCTGTGCTGCTTTTAACTGCACCCCCATTCCCAGTTATGTATTCCAAAAGTAAGCGTGCTCAGACGCCACGCTAAGTGTTTTATTCAAGATGTATTCAAAGCGTTCTGCGCCCTCTGAGAGCTCTTACACTAACAGCCATATCGTGCAACACTTTTTTAGTGGTAAAGAGGAAATGAAATGCATTGCTTTCTGTCAAATGAGCAACGACAAGTAATCTGAAATTCCTATTAAACACGACACCGTGTAATGGCAACTCTTGCGTTCACACATTTTCATTTTATTTGACAGTAATGTTTCAGTCAAAACATTAACATTGGGTAACATTGGGTCATTTTGTAGCGAGGAGCCTACACGAGGAGCTCACTCCCCCATGAAATTGTTTATCCAAGTATTCAGGAAATGTTTCTCCCCCCCCCCCGAGCCTCCCAGACGTCGGGTTTGCACAAAGCAGTTCTGCAGAGAAACTCTGCTGCAGACGGGATAATACAAGTATGAAACAGAGAGAGAGAGAGAGACGTGAGAGTCCGGTTTTTAGTGGTGTTGCTCACTCAGACATTGAGGGTCATGAAGGTCAATAACATGATGATCTTTCATCACAGACTGGATAAGAGTTCTACACGTTCCACGAAAAAAAAACCACCAGGTGTAGACAGAATGGCTCTCATCACTAGGAGCTGTCGAGTGGAACCAAAGGGCCTTTTTGTGATGCAAGGGGATGAATACAGACACTCCCTGATGATCCTGGATTTGAGCTGCTGAGCTTCCTGTCACCCGCCTGCTGTGGCGTAACCCTCCTCTGTGAACACGACTCAGAGTCAGGACTTTTGAAGTGAGCTGAAGGCAGGAAGGAAGTTTAGTCGAGGGACAACAGAGAGCTTTAAGGTGACACACTTCCTGTGAAACACAGAGAGTGAAAGTCATCATCTATGTGTACTTAATAGATAAAAACCCTTCTGCAGCGGTAAGGTTGGGCTGGGCACAAACACAGGACTTTCATCCAGGAGATCACCGTTTGTGTCCCGTGTGACACGAAAAGTCCTTGCGTAACCCGCCGATACATTACGGTGCAGGGTATTAATAATGCTTTCCTAGATGCATCCTCACTCTTTTCTGAGTGTCTTTGTTTCAGTGACAGACTCGAGCTGTCGCTTCATCAGGACGCCTCGATTTGTCAGCGGAGAGAGAAACCCCGCTGCAGTTTGTCCCTCAGCACGGAGAGGTTTTGCTCATCCAGTGTGTCTAAGTCTCGGGGGTTTCAAAACAATTGCAACCTGGGGAGGAGGTTTGTTTGGCTGGCTGCTGCACTTTACGGGACAGGAGGCAGAGTGCGAGTGTCTCTGATCTACTTCCTTCTCTGTGGATTATTTCCAACCTAGAAAAGCACAGCCCGTCATCTCACGGTGGAGCTACTGTCAATCAAAGACACCAGCCAGCAATCAGTTTTCTTCTTCTTCTTTTTTACATGTCTCTGCAGCTCCGGCTGAGACGTATTAATGGCCACATTTCCATGACACCATAGCAGTGTTTTCTACATGTTTTATTCAAATTCACGACACAAGTTCTTTACATTCCGGCTGACGAGGACGACAGGTGGAATAAAATATGCAGGTTACATATCACACAGGTGATATCATGCTGGCTATCATGACAAAAAAAACTATTCTTTATCAATCACAATTCCTCATGAATTCCTAGGAAATTTAATTTGTTCCTTTTATCCAAATAAAGTAATTTACTTAATGAACTTAACGCCTTCTCCAAACCTAAAATTAGATTTATCCATCCTGAGTTTTCACACATTTAATTCCAAGAAAAAAAAGGGGTGTGAATTACATTTATTATTCTCTGCTACTTCCTCCAAATGTGACATTTTATTTCTTACACAACTCATAGTTTACTCACACAAACCCAATTATGGATCCTAAAATGTTTGTAGAGATCTTTAATATTCTCTTCAACAATATGGCGCCTGGTGATTTCCTCTATGCCTTTGAGCCAACAAAACGTCACGAAAAGGCAGCAGAAATTCAAACCATGTTTTTATTTTCTGCTCGTGATGGTTGAGGAAGCACGTCCTCAGTAACGACACAAAGCAGACCTCCCAACAACGTGCTGAGGCAACGGAAGAACAGAGGCCAGACACCTTAGCACGACTCTGAGCACTTACAGCAGATCCCACCGCTCATCCTGCGAAGCTCCGTCTGCAACACCGGAGCCCTTCATCCCGGATACGAAGATGTGAAGTCCACCTGACTCGAGTCTGCAGAGCTGTGCTCCATCTGCTGGTTTGATGGTGCAGCAACAGTGGAACGGCTCTCTGCTGCCCCGGGGTCAGTATTGACCCGAGTCCTTTGAGCAAACTCTCATCAAGCTCATCAGCCATATTAATAAGTAATCACAATATTCATGTTGTGATATTTATCATGGAGTCGAAACTAAGACAGGGTTGGTAGTAAACAGCAGACATGGCCTGTTCAATTTAAATGTAAAAAAAAAAAAAAGGCTGTTTATAACTCAAACACATGTAATGCGTTATAATCTGCTTATTGCGCTGTATAAGTATAGTTATAAGCACTAATATTCATAATGCTTTAACACAATAATCATAATACTATAAGGTAAAGTATAATAAGTCATTTCTGGTTATGATAATCACTATTTTTTGCAAAGATGATATAATTTACATAGCTGGAGTAACTTTTAACCACACATTATGACAGTGATTATAATGCATTATGCAAGTGTAAATATACCTTTAACATATTTAAATAATCAGACGGGGGAACTTTACAATGTACAAGTTTATTTTTAATGAACTCTTCAGTGGTTGGTAGTCACAGCACAGCTTGCATGTATTAAGCCACACACCTATTTTACAAGATGACGGGAAAAAAAACAAAATAAAGAAAAACAAACAAAAACAAAAAGTCTGAACCAGCGTAGATGGTCATCAGTGCATCTACAGTGACTTTTCTTTAAACTTCTTTTGCTAAAATATCCTTAAAAAGGCCACTGAAATGCATAAAATGTTTTCAGATGCATGGAATATTTGACGGTGGCGATTTGCTTCAACCGGACGTAGAGACTCCTCACATGGCATCGACAGTGCATGTAGACATTTGTAAAAAGGACTGGGTTAGCGATACCTAAGATATTCTGTTTTTTTTAGTGACAACACCGTGGCTATAATACTACAGCTTTAAAATAAAAAAAGGAAACAAAATGAACAGCACTCTTCCAAGTTACTGAATACAACGAAAGTGAAATGTAGTGAAGCCATTATTTTCTTTATCTCACAATTATGTGAACACTTATTTATAACTGGAAAAAAGAAGAAGAAGAAGAAGAAGAAGAAGAAGCACTGAACACCTGCCAGCCGCCCCGTGTCGGAGAGAGAGAGGCTCTAACTGTACTGTGTCCAAAGACTATAAAAGAAAAAATAATTAAAAACACACCTTTTCGTCCTCTGGAATTTGTATACTTTTAATAGTAACAGACGGGAACCATAAACGCATGCCATGTGCTGGTCTCAAACAAATACATACAGGTATATACAGCATCACTCAGTACCTGCTAAAACAAAGTGAGAAATACAGAGTATAAACGGACTACACTACAAACTTAAAACAAAAAAAAAAAAAAAAAAAAAAAAGAGGAGGAAGGTGAGCGACGAAAGCGGTGGAAGAGTGAAAATCCTACATGTGATGGACTCATTAAAGCATAAAAAAGAAAAAAAGAAAATGCATATTGCACATACAGTGAAAGCTTAAATTCCACCAGGTCCGCCTCGTTTCGCTAAAGCGAGATTTCAAAAAAACAAATTTCCCTCTTGGAGGAAGACACGGAGGTAACAAAAAGTAGGTGTGTGTGTGGGGTGTGTGTGTGTGTGTGGGGAAGTAAATGGAGAAGTTAGGAGCCACGAGGATTCGATATGGGGTAGAAGTGGCACTCTGAGGGGTTAAAGAGAGAGGGGGGGGGGGAACTGCACAGCACACAACACCAACACAGGCAGGAGAAACAAAAAAAAAAAAATAAAAAGAGATTGTGGCACAAATAAAATCAGGTGTTGGATAATATCTGTTCTTCAGTGATAGCTGAGAGAGAGAAGAGAGAGCTGCAAGTGTTTTTTCTCTTTATGTACAACTAAGGCTTATTGGTTAAATAGTTTTCAGGCTTCCCCGCCCACAATGCTTTTACATGCTGATCACACAACCCTTTCTTCCTTTTGCTCTGTAAACTCAAGTGGTTCTATCGGGACAGCAGCCACACAATCAAGTGGGGAATAGTCGAGGAGGTGGATGGAGGGATGGATGGATGGATGCTGCAGTGGTGGTGGAGGAGCAAAAGGGAGATAAAGAGCTGAGAGGAGATAAAAAAGGACACAAAAAAAAAAAAAAAAAGTCTCGTCTCTGATGTCTGTTGCAATTAATATCTAAATGTGCAATTCCATTAGTCACTGCCATGGGGGACTAGGGGGTGCAGGAGACGGGGCGGGTCAGGGTGGTGGTGGTGGGTGGGGGTGTCTGTTTCTACTTGGAAAGCTTGCTAATGACTCGAATGAGTGCGCCGTTCTCGTCCTTTAGTCTCTGGTTGTCTGCTTTCAAGTCTGGGAGCATCTGAAAGGGAATAAAAAGGAAACAAGGGAAGGGAGGAGGAGACGCACACACAGAGAGAGAGAGAGAGAGAGAGAGAGAGAGAGAGAGAGAGACAGAGAAGGCTTAGACAAGTCTCGACCGATACACCGAGTCGTTACACCAGTCAGGCCACAAACTGTTAATTACAGCCTTGCAATCTTGGAGTCACACAGCATCTCTCATGTTTTATTTTCCCCTTTAAACAAATAAATAAAAAAACACTTCCTGGTTCTCAGTAAAAAGAGTAAAAGCGGGCACACCACGGGCCAAAGGTCTGGAGGAAGCCATGCAGCATCTGAACAGCTGCTCACCAGCAGCCATTAAACACAGCAGAGACGCACAAAGTCACTTTTGGATCATCGAATAGGATTTCAGAGAGCCCAGCGGGTGGCAGGAGACACTCTTTGATTGGTCATATGACCATGTAAATATCATTATGTTATCGTTTTTATTACAGACGCTCAACGGTACAGCTGTGATGCTACATTGGCTGTTGTTTCAGCTTTGGAGGCTACTTGTGTGCACAGACTGTTTACAGCGTTGTAGTGGAACCAAAGTGCTGAAAAATGAAGCCAATGTTCCTGTAAAAATGGCTCCAAAACTCCCAACAGACCCAACTTCACATGTTTACACTTTGGTAGAAAAAACTATTTGGTCTATAGCCGATATCTTCCTTCATGACAACTGTACGGGAGTGAACTTTCTAATATAAACTCACCCGTTTACATCATATTAAGGCATAAAGTTCTGATGAATTAAGGGCCCCTTTGAGTGACAGGTGGGTGCCTCTGGGCTCCACCAAGGAGACTCTAATCTGAATGAAACACGTGGATTCAATGCAGATCTCTATTGAATCTGAGGACCTTGGATATGCGTCAGATTTCCGTAGCTCGTTAAACAACATCTGGGAACATCCATTAAGCATATGTCAAGATGAGATTATTGGAGATAATTTAAGAGCAGAAGGCATCTTTCCTCAACGTGACACCTGCCGGGTTCCATAGTATCCGAGTTAACGCTCCACAACATCCTCTTTTTGGATGTTTATCGTTAGAACGAGACTTTATCTGACTGCAGATGAGTAAAGTCACAGTCGCACTCCTGAAAAATCCACCTATTTGTGCAGCGGTGTGACTTTAATTCTACTTGATTACAGACTTTACTACGTGAACTGGTGTTTTGCTCTTCTTTAAAGAAGAATGTGCAGATGCTGTGATGACGACAACTTTCAGTAGAAAAATCACGATCAACACCGACACTCAACAACAAGAGAATTCAGTCCCCTTAAAAACAAACTCATTTAATACAGATGACGATCAACCGCTAGCTTAGATATTCATGTCCTGACGTAGAGCGAGTTACTTTATACACTGCTGTCGGTCCATGCAGCTCACTTTTAGATTTGTTGATGTCATCTGTCAAATTAAAAATTTGGGGAGTAAAGAAAGAAAAAAATAAAGAAATAAAGTTTCAGTCTCTGAAGATTTACAGGGAAGCCAGTTCATGCAAAGAAGCCAGAACAAGCCAAACTGAAGACGTGCGCTCCCTCTGATGGAAGCGTCACAACGAGAAACTACAGAGGACACTTTCCTTTACAGCAAACTCTGATTCAATGGAGTCAGTTCAGACAGCTGACATACTTACCCGGGGCTTGTTTTATCTACCATGTTGGTTTAGGATGTTTTTAGATACTGTTCTGTAGAAGGAGAGTGTCCTGTTGTAAGAACTAAAAACAACACCCTCCCCAATCTGAAAACCAAAAGCTCTGGGGAGGCAGAGGGGGCTGAAAGTTTACAAAACCAGAGGTGGTTGAGCGGCTGGGCACCTGCCTGTCTATGGGTGCGGGCAGAGCACGAATGGAGCATGAGAAGAATGGGGTTTGGGGAGGGGGAAGGTGAGGAAGAAAGAGGAGGAGGAGGAGGAGGTGGTGGACAGACGGACGTAGCTTAGAGGTCGACGGTGGGCAGCTGGCTGCAGGCGGACTGCGAGAGCTTTGCCAACACTCGGGACAGGGCCCGGTTCTCAGCCTGCAGCCGCTCCTTAACCTGCCGCAGGGCCTGAACCTGCTTTACCTGGGGGAGGTTCTGCAGGGGGGGGGGGGGGAGAAACAACAACCACAACACAAAGAAAACAAAGTGAGAGAGAGAGAGGGGGAGAGGAGGCAGAGAGGAGAGAAAGAATGGCAGAAGAGGAACATATTTCAACAAATTAGGAGAGAAGAGGTTTAATGAAAAACAGGATAATAGAAATTAACAGAGCAGAGGGGCCGAGGAGGAGGAGGAGAAGGGGGGAGACAGAAGAGGGAGATTGTTAGAAAAATGGGGACAGATTTTGGAAACCGACGGAATGATTAAGAGCTTTCCGGTTCAGCCTGATGCTTGTAGATAGAAACGGGAAAGTGACACTGATAAGATCAGCCAGCTGCCGGAGAATAAACACACTTCGTTATCACAGCGATGGGAACAACACTCGCTTACTAGAATTGAATCTGTCCTCCTAAGACAAAAAAACAAAAGGAACCTCTAATTGGCCGCATCAATAGAAGAGCTTAAATGTCATGTCAACACAGATTATAACAGCTGACCTGAGATGTGCCCTGAACAGAGTAAGAGATGCACATTTAGCAGGTAGACAAGGAGTGCAGCATGGGGACCGAGGTGAGGGACCGTACGGGCAGAATGCAAAAGGCTGTATTCAGGCCAATACGGTAGTTTGGGCTCAAGGGAAATTCTATAGTTCTATAGAAAGGGACACTGAGACGTAAGTGACAGCTGTTAGCACTATGTTGGAATTCACAAGTACCACCTACACACTAGCTGTGATCCTGACTCCACTAATGGAAATGTCTTAAACCCAACTGCACATGAAGAGAGAATACAACGTGTGACTGTGTGTGTGTGTGTGTGAGAGAGAGACTGTGTGTGTGTGGGGTACCTTAAGTTCCTCCTCCATCTCAGAAATCTTCCTTTCTAGAGCTCTTCTTTCCTGCGGGGTGGAGAGCAGAGCGGGTTAAAACTCGGGACTATCTCACGGAGACGATCAGCAGAAAGCACACGGTGGTGCAGCCTCTACACACTGCATTGAATAAGGTGGGGGAAGATGGTGAGGGTGTAGCGGTAGCACACACACTTGAACACACGCATGTCTCGTGAGGCGTCTGCAAGCAACAGTCAGTAACAGACTTAAGTATTCAGTGAGAATATCATTTATATGTTCAAGACGATGACATGATCCATGGACAGGGTGGTCTGAATGTCTTTTTTAAACGACAAAAAAAAGACATTCTTGTCTTATAAAAAGTCGTGAAGACAAATGGAGGATGGTCTTAAAGTTACTACAAGGAGTGTTTAACTGGTTGTAACGGTCTCAGTTTAATACCGATGCCTCTGTATGACCTACAGGAGAAGACTGGGTTTATATCTCGTGATTTTTTAATGCCCGTCACCGTCCGATAATCCGCAAAATCAGACTAAACCATTTGCAGGTTCTCCAGAAATTTCATCAGCGCCGAATCCAGCAGAAGGGGCCGGACCCCGATCCAGATCTGCGAGGCACGGGAGAACCAGAACCAGGACTGAGAGGGGTAGACTGTCAGACCCCGCTGGAGTAAAATGAGGTTTCCTAAAGAGAGTCTGGTGTTTGGAAACACTACCGCTTTTGTCCACAGGGACCGCCAAAATCAACACGGAATTAAAGTTCCTTGTAGCAGCTTTAAATGCGTTTTAAGAGTAATGGATGGATTGGTTATGGTTTCACGGCTACACAGCTCTGCAGCTGAAGACGTCAGCATTATTACTGAATGAGTGAGACAAAAAAACAAACAAAAAAACCAAAAAAAAACAACAAAACATGAAAACACACACACACACATGCACAGCAAATCAACCATCTACAATTGTTCTACTTCCTGCATGAATTGAGATAAACACTTTCTCACACACACACACGAAAAGAAAGAAGAGAGAAGAGGTGACCACACGCTGCCTCTGAGGCTTTAAACACAGGTGAGAGAAGTTGGCGGTGTTCTGGGTGGCGAGGAGGGAGGAAGTCCCTTTGACCCCCGACTACATGTGACAGCCAGCAGCAGAGAGCAGACCGATACAGAGAGTCAGGTTAAGATCATACCACTACCCAGATGATATTGGGGCCTGCTTGTTACCTTCAGACATAAACCCATTGGTAGTGTTACCAGCATGTTTGAAGCAGGGCGGATTTATCAAAAACAACACAAGGACTTCTGAGTTCTAGGTTTACTTTGAGAGACAGAAGTTATACATATCGTCAGTTCATAGTGTCACCAAACAAAAGGACATTTGTTATCGAGCTTATTAAACTGTCGTTACCCTTTTCTCCATCTCAAGCTGTGATCGGTCGGCATAGCGTTCCTGCCTCTGCAATGAGAAAGAAACAGTTCTCAGGAATCCTAAATCATCAATACTGATCAGCTGACGCAGAGAGAGCTCGGTGTACCTGTGTGGCCTTCTCTAGTTGTAGCTTCAATTCGGCCAGCTCCACGTCTGTGTCACGTAACTGGGCCTTCAACTTCTCGTTCTCAGCTAAGATCTGCTCGTAGAGCTGAAGGGAGGAGACGAGCAAATCCAACAGGCGACGTGTGAGACGAGTTTTTGGGGGTTATGCAGTACCGGTGCTGGGATTAAACCCAGGATCCGGAATGAGCCGACGCATCGGTTCACGTTTGTTTCACACACCTTCTTGTAGTCAGTGGCGTCGTCTCTGTCCAGTCGGCTCGAGTACGTCCTCCGACTCTCCCCGTAGCCACGGCTGAAGAGAATGTCGTTGCGATCTATTGATGAAGTGCTCTCGTTCCTGCAGCGGGAACAACAGGCGGTCGTTTTAAATACAGAGAACATACGAGAGGTAACAAGAAAGAGCAGAATAACACGAAGGGGGCAAAACATACCTGGACAATCTGTCACTCTGTAAGAAAGAAAAAAAAGGAAAGCGGATGTTAATGTTGATTAACATCTCTCACACACACACACACACACACACACACACACACACACACACACACACAGACTTATTCCCAAACAGCTGCCATGCAGCAAAGTGCCTCCAGACCTGCTGTGCTTTGTGAAACGGGGCCTGACATCAGATAGGGAGGGCCGGGCTTCCAGCTATTTTAAAATGGCGGTGAGCTTCCTGCGGCGGACAGAGGGCGGTGACACGACAACGCTACCGTCTGAGTCAAGAAGTCCTGAAGCCTCCAAGGGAAAGGAACAACGGACGAGTTCAACTGATCAGATAAACGGACAGTTTGGCTCCATTCAGAGACTACAGATGGAAGACACAGGCGAATCATGACTGGTGAATAACTAAAAGGTATATAACCGGAGTCTTGATTTCATCCAATAAAGTTCAACACTTTGCAATGTAAACTTTTAAAAGATATTCTCTGCATTGCTCAAACATTGTATTTTTACGTTTCGGTGCTTGTACTTGAGAGTGCCAGGCAGGAATGCTTTCCAATCTCCATGCGGAGATAATTGCTCGTTGTCCATTTAGCGCCGTGTTGCTGCTGCTCCACCCTTTCTTCCGTCCTACCGAGAGTGAAGCGGTGTGTGTCCCTGCTGACTGTACTCCACTACTGTCTGCTCTCTGAATGAGAGTGTCTTTTGCAGCGATAACACAGACAGGATGTTCTTCCAGCCAGCAGTATTTTCACAACACTGCGCTTTCTGCTCTTCCATGGAGCTTCCAAAAGCTCATGGATAGTTTTTATTGTTTATTTCAGGGACTAGAAGAGCGGTTAGTTCATGTCTCACATGTTCATTTAGCCTATCGCTGGTTCAAAGTCTTATTTAGTGACTTCAGATGAGCACAAACAGCACAAACTGAGGGTTGAAAAGGGTTTCGTTGCTCCTAAATCTCATTTTAAATTGGAAAAACTCTCCTTCGTGCGTGTGTGGTCTGACCCCAGTGACCCAGACTTCCTTGCCTTTGTATATCTGCATGTTTTTAAAACCCACTGATCTATGGCTGAGGCCACTTTTGGTTTGCAAGGTCACAGCAGCAGCCAGACAATCAGCAGAAGATGGAAACGACGAGGGAACAATAAAAGAAAATCAAAGGCTGCAGACGGTGTGAAGGGAAGATTGGTGGGAGGGGAGGAAATCATAGCTGAACAGGAAGGAGAAGTGGATATCAAAGACGACTGGACCTGCATGGCCTTGACTTCATGAGAGGAGACATGAGGAAGCACCAGGACAGAGAATAAATGAAGGAGGGCAAGAATCAAACGGAGGTCGGGGCCACAGAAGAAAAGCAATAGGACTTTGGTTTTGGCTGGAGGGCTTAAAAGCCAGTTTGATCTACTTTCTACGTGTGTGTGTGTGTGTGTGTGTGTGTGTGTGTGTGTGTGTGTGTGTG